TCCGACCCTTAATCTATGAATCTATGAATCTATGACCTAGGTGGATTCAGTGTAAATCAGGCGTAGATGAGGTAAATTCAAGCATGAAGCTAACCTAGGAATCTGAAACATATCAAGAATGGACCTCTGCTGTTTGATGAGAAGCAGATTCTGAGATCTGCCATGTTTAGTCTGCGGGGAGGATTCTCACAACACAAAGTTAATATGCTCTTACTCTTTCCTCTTTCTAGAATAATAACAAAAATTCCAAATTTCCCATTAAATGTTATTTGTTTGAATGGTATTAGCTGCAGTGCTATCAAAAAGACTTATTTCTAATTTCAACTTTTTAAATTATATAATATAGAATAAAAACATAGAATCAAATAGTTCCCTTCCAAACAGGCAAAAGTGTTCAACTCTTTCTTCCCCTTCATTCATGACAAAGTATTGTGGATGATCAGAATGCACTTCTGTGTTTGTGAGAAGCAAGGATTTCTTAGGGCAATCTCATTTAGTGGTTCTACTATGTGGTTGAGATAAAGCTACACAAAGTTTCAAATGCAAGAATCCTTCCTCAGGTCTCAGATCAGAAGGAACCAGGCACGGCATCTGGGTGTACATTTTGCATTTGTGCACCCAGAACCTGCACCAGAATCCTGAGGACCTGACCTTGTACTCAATGAAGTCAATAAAAATTCCCATTGGATTGTGTGGTTCATTTCAAAATTGAAAATAGTTTTGTAGCTTTGCACAAATAGTCTCAGGGATGAGCTTGAAATCATAAACGCAAACCTTTTCTTTTGGCTCAACAGATACCGCTTTCCAATTAATGGGCAAGTCTATATGTGCTATTAACACAGGGCAATACACTCCAGTGCACATTGTGTTGGAGTTTATTGCCATTTGAATGTGTGCCTGGGACTGTAGCATGTTGAAATGGGTTGGAGCAGCTTCAGAAAACAGGGGACCCCAAAGGTCAACCCACCAGCATGGGGCTCTTCTGACCTGGCTCAACATGCTACAGAGACCAGCTGAGGCATGAGGGTGGTCTCGTGTGGAGCTAGCTACCAGGCAGCCCCCGCACTGAAGCACTCTCATGTCCTAGCCAGTCACATCAGCATTTATATGTGCAGTACTGTAAACTGAAAAAAACGACACAGTAGAATAGTCCTTGTATTTACAGGTCCTACTCTGCTGCAAAGTCCATCAGCTTACTCCAGCCTAATAGGACCATATGTGTAGAGGCAAGGCATTGACTGCGGAGTAAATATGTTGTGTCGATGCACTCAATTTGAAGTGCTGAACTCCAGGGCACTTTGAGCCATCACTGTGTTGGGCAGTGGATGACTGCCTGGGTCATGAGGGTGCTGACACTGTGGAGTCATGTGGCTAAAAATTCCCACTGACTTGTGCAGGAGCCAGGAGTGTATCACTCATTTGAAAAGATAAATTAGCTTTTTAGCTTTGCACAAATAGTCTCAGGGATGAGCTTTAACTCAGAAATGCAAGCCTTTTCTTTTGGCTCAGCAGATACCTCTTGCCCTAAAGAGAGAGGACATGCACGTGAGAAATGCTAACTTTAGAAGTTAAGCAAGTAAAAACTTTCATGGTATGATTCACACCCTAAAATGCAGGTGTTCAGTGCCATCACCTTTGGTCCTGTCTTTCCTTAGCTCCAGTAAGATGGTGGTCAAGCACATCTAAACATCATAGCGTACTGATTTCTCAGCAACTTCAAACATCTCTGAGTGAGAAATCTTTACAGGTGTAGGAAGATCTTGATTTGAAACTTTCTTCTTTTTATCATGTCAACTTAGATTTACCTGCCCAATGGGGTCTATGCATTCTTGGTGAGTAAAGTTGTAGTCTTGAAACAACTTCCTCATTACTTCAATATCATTCCCCGCACCAGGTCTATCTGTTGTCACACACATCAAGAAAGCCATGCGTCCATTCCTCATGTCATACTCTTCCTGTTGATCCAAATCAATAACACAAAATGCTTACACATATGTAAGATCTGCAGCTTGACAGAACAACCTTGATCTAACACTTTGCACTTTTCTCCATGCAATGTAAATGACTAAGAGCCCTATCCTGCAACAGTATAGTGAAATCTAAGTGGAGATGGGCACAGAAACTATCTGTAGGATCAGACCCTGTCTACCCTTGACAGCACTAGCAAAGGTAAAAATAGTTCAGTTGCACCTGTAGATGAGTCAAGCTACTTTCAGCACCATTTTACAGACTAGTCCTGACAAGCTCAAAAGCATATTCTCTTCCTTTTTATAGCACCCTAACCTAGTATTTAATTTACCTCAGCTGCATAAAATTCAATAAACCATGAGGAGAATCAGACCAAAAGTTTAAAGTTAAAGTATTCTTTAACATTAGCAGCAGCTGTTTATAGAAATGCATTCAGTGTTTCAGGATTTTTATGTAAGTTGTTTGTACATTTCAGGTGTAAAAAATGGTGTCTTGATCCCTGAATATTAAACACATGGGCATTATTACGATATAAAAACTAAGCACAAGAAATGAATCCATACTCATAGGAGATGAATTAGGTGACTATAAGGACCAAATTCTTTAAAGGGAGAAAAGGAAGGATGCTTCTCATCCCTCAGCCTTTGCAATTAGTTGTTATATCCTTGGCTTGTCTCTGAGGATAAGGCTTCTACTCATGGAATAATTTTGCCCTTAGTTACAGCTCTGCAAACCAACTGAAGTCTATTCAGGCAGAATCAGATGCACCATTTCTAGAAAAATGGAGTGAAATTGAGATTTGTGGATGTAAGTTGCAAAGCTACCATTATCTTCAATGGGATTTTTTCATATTTAAATAATTATGTGATATCTTGGATGCAGCAGTTGTGTGCAACTATAGAAATGTGGGAAATAAGAGTCTTTCTGATAAATTATTAGAACTGAGGTACATCAACGGCATATAGTAACTTCAGCAAACTGCTAAGAGCTCCAGAATTCTCCATGCTCTCTTTCTTTGTCTTCCATCACTTCATGAGGCTGAGGGGAGTATTTTCAGCACTCACAATTTAGGCATAAAAATAGCATTTCCTTTAATTCCATTCTCCAGACCACATGATGAGGATGAAGTTGGTTCCTTATTCCCAGTCCCTTATTCCTGGTTCCCTTTTCAAAAGCAATCTATATCCAATAAAAGCTTGTCATTCATGAATTACATCTTCTAAGAAGATACAATTTCGTCAGCTATGTACATTTATTAATTAATATGTAAAATTATATCCTGCATCAAGTACTAGTCCCTAAACAAAGATCAGATTAGAATGGGATTAGGGAGCATAATACTTCTTGGGCCACCCCGACTGCCTTTCTCTGCCATTGTCCCAAAGAACAATCCTGCCCAGCCCAAAGCTCAGTTTGCAACAGTAACAGCATAAACAGATCCTTTCCCTTCGTTAATCAGTTACTTTTGTAACTTTTGTAACATGCCAAATTGTCCAACCCTTAGGCTTTATACCTTGTCTTTGTAGATAAGGTACTCCAATCCTACTATATTTTTGGTTTTGTTTCCTTATAGGAAACCACTGTACCTGGTTCACCCCGTGTACCAACCACAGCGCACACTTTTTCCACTGCCTTATAAGGCACATTGTACAATGTTATTGCTTAGTTCCAGGAAGGCCTAGACCAGTGGTTCTCAACCTTTGGTACCTTACATATTACCTGCCAATTGATGCGGCAAAAGCAAAACTGGAAGTCCCACCATGGCACTTCTGGTTTTGCCGCCATGAGCCGAGTCCCACTTTTTCCCTCATGGACCACAGCACGGGGCGAAGCAGCCTATGCGGGGCCCACCTCCCTGTCCCCTAGCACGCTGACACCAGGAAGCGAAAGCCCCAGCATGCCGGACGCGGTGGGAGGGGCAGTGGCTGGAACTTCAGGCCTGAACAGGCAAAGACACCTCCAATCTACTGGGTAGGCGTGTGGGCCAAACTCAAAATGTGACCCCTGTGTATTGCTTGCCCCAGGAACGGCGCGTGCCCCTGTTGGCTGGGGGAGCATGGCTGTGCTGGTGGTGGCAGGAACAGAGTGGCAGGAGCCTGGTGCCAGTGAGCAGGGAGCTCCCACAGATGCCACTGGCACTGTCGGCAGTGGGGGTGGTGAGCACTGACCATGGGTCAGTGACCACCCGCAGGCACCGCCAGCAGCATTGACAATGGCCGGGGCGATCAGGGACTGCCCACAGACATCACCAGTGGTGGCGTGGCAAGCAGCAACTGCCCGCAGGCACCCTGACAGTGTCGGCAGCACCTTTTTGCAGGGGGTGCTCTGCCATGCACAGGGGGTGCACACGCACCTGCATACACCTCCTATGCATTGCCCCTGCACTGCCCACGTCTCACGTACCCCCAGGGGTACACATACCATGGGTTAAGAAACACTGGCCTAGACTATGACTAAGAGCTTTAGTTTGCCTGCTACACTGTTACCTAGAGAACTGAAAAATAATAACATCAAAACCATTTACCAGCTCATCCGGGCTGCTCTGGATTTCATCGTGTGTCTGCTGAGCCGCTTGCCATTTCTCATTTGTCAGGACAGCCACTGAGCCTGCACTTAAAAAACAAAAGCGTCAGTGTGACTCAAGGCATGGGTAAGGTCACTGGCGTTTGCTTTCGTAGCCTGCTTCACAGGGCACCATATCTACATGGTCTCCAGCCTGTCCAGATGCGACTCCCGTTTCCCCCTGCCCGGGGCTCGCCTCCCCAACGCCGCACAGGCTGGCTGGCAACAGCTGGGTAGGGCTGGCATGGCCTGGAGGGAGCGGGTTTTGAGGAAGGGGCACGAAGGCCGCACCAAACGTTTGCCCTCCAGCCCCGGAAAGCCAGGAGCTGCTCTCCAGGGAGCCCGTGGCGAGCCGCTGGCCGCAGCCAGGTGCTTGGCCAGCCCCGGCCTTGCAGAGCTGCCAGAGAGCGGCGGGCGCGGTGGGGAGGCTCGTGTACCTGGCCCGTGCTCCTGCCCCCGCCGCAGCGCCGCGGCCAGGTCGCAGCGCCCGCTCCGCTCCAGCGCCTCGCTCAGCACGGCGGCGGCCTGGCCAGCGGCCGGGAAGAGCTGGAGCAGCAGCTGGGCCAGCTCCTCGCGCGAGCCCGCCGCCTCCAGCTGCGCCTGCGAGACGCGGCTCTGGAATCTCAGGTGACACCGGCACGCCCTCAGCTGGGCCTGGTCCAGCTCGTCCAGGACCTGCAGCAGCCTCAGCGCCTCCGCCGCCATCACCGCTCCCTGCGGGGCGGGCTCCCGGCAGGAAGGAGCCGCGCCCGGCGCGCTGGTCCCCGCCACTGAGGGGCTGGCTGGGGCGGGGGGCGCTCCAGTGTACTGCACGGCCCGAACCGGAGCGGCCGTGCATGCCGCGCGGGGAGCCCCCGCAGGCTGTCAGCGGGGGCAGGCGGTGGCAAGCGCTGACCAGGAGGCGGCGACCACCCGCAGGTGCCCGCGGCGAGCGCCGACCGCCGGGGGTGCGCTGCCACAGCCAGGCACCCGCCTGCACCCCGACGCGTCGCCAGCGGTAGCGCCCTCAGCCCCTGTCACGCCTGTTGCGCTGGCATCAGTTCTTCTGGCCTAGGAGAGTACTGTCCCGGATAGCGCTAGCCTACGGCAAAATTAGTCAATTTACTGCACCCTGATACCTGGGCATGTGTACACCAGGCTTTACTGCAGAGCTAACTCGCCACGTGTAGATGGACCCATGAAGCTTGTTTGCTTCAGCGGCCTCAAACCCAGCCCCAGCCCCAGCCCCAGGCAGGAGAACCCTACCGATGCTCATTAAGGGCATTCATTAAGGGCTGCCAGTACCCCAACTATAAGCTGTCCATCCTATTATCTTCAATTCAGGGTAAAAATAACAAAAAGTGA